GGCTTTTTATCTCCTTCGTAGGAGTTATAAATTCCTACGTAGGATTTATAAAATTCTACGTAGAAGTTATAAAGTCCTACGTTGGAGTTTAAAAGTCCTACGTAGGAGTTATAAACTCCTAATTAGGTTTTTTTTTATCTCCTACGTAGGAGTTATAAAGTCCTACGTAGGAGTTACAAAGTCGGTCAGTTTGCTCATGTTTTCTGTCATAGAATTATTGTAATCATACACTTAAGATCACATGTGTTTAAGATAAGACTCAAAATTTGTGACTTTTTTTGTAAAGAGTCGAGAGTACTGAATCGCTTATCTTTAGCTATGACTCGCTTGTTCTTCCCTATTAGATAATTGAGTATATCTGTACTGGAGGGTGGGGTTATCATCTTTTAAATCTACCTGAATGTTTGCCATGTTTCGTATCATATACTATTGTCAGTGTCTGCCAGAAATACACTGTCATTTAAGGTTACATCTTCGAAGAAAACTTTATTGACTGAATGCAAAGTGTCACTTACGCGTAGACTAAGTCCGCCATTGTTTACTTTCGCACGCCGGTCATCGCTAACGCCACTTATCCCTTTACCTTTGATTGGCTTTTTCGACATTCCCATTTAAAATTATCACAATCCACTAAGAAATAACAAATATTTTGTGCTCATAATGTAAAATATGTATATATTTACGTAAAACAGATTATTTTACTCATCTCTGCAAAAAGCCACATAAAAATCAATTAAAATATATGCATAGGTCTGTAACATTCATCTTTCTAAATGTTCTTGTTCGTAGGAAAATAATAACATTGAGTTACCAAGTAAATATAGTTTAAATATTTCAAATTGAGAAATACGACATTTATTAGTTCAAACTGAAACATGGAAAACCTAAATTGTCACACAATTTATCGCTATTAAAATGATGACGTACTGTTTTTCAAAATGGACTAGCTATGATCTAATTCGTGACCAGTAAATTTGATTTTGATTGAATTTGTTGTTGTTGCCTTGTCTCAAACAGCAGAAAAAAACGTTAATGTTACAGCTTATGACAATTGTTTGTACCATAAGTTCATTGGTTTTCTTTTTGCTTCAAAGCGTTAAGAACAGTATATTATACAACATAACCAATAAGGCTTATGTCACTGATATACATTTCCAAAAATGGCATTGTATCTGCAATGTTATAAGTGCCCCCATTGCAGATTTAAAAGGTGGATTGAATCATCAAAAGTTTTGTTGAGGCAGATTAGAAAGTTAGGTAAAGGAAATATGCACGAAGAAAAATGTATTCACAAGTTATTAGTCCTGACCGACTTCAAATGGCATATCCGAATATTGAACAATATTTGAGCCGTGTCACGACAAAACCAACATAGTGCGTTTGCGACCACAAGGATCCAGACCAGCCTGCGCATCGGCGCAGTCTGATCAGGATACATGCTGTTCGCTATCAGTTTCAGCACTTGTAATAGAGTTGGTAGGCAAACAGCACGGATCCTGATCAGACAGCGCGGATGCACAGGCTGGTCTGGATCCATGCTGGTCGCAAACCCATTATGTTGGTTTTGTCATGACACAGCTCATTTCTTGTCCCATCGTTTTAAAGCAACCTGAGGGAAGTCCCTTTAAATCATACGAACGTTAAATCAAAGTTATTTTAATCACACTTATTTTTAATATAAAAAGCAAGTGGTGCCATCAGTATGCGACTTGGCAGGGCATTGATTGTTATTATAAGAGGTAATTTTATTAAATTTCATATTTTAATTACTTTGCTTACATGAAGATCTCCCCAAATCAGTTTGAAAATGCAAACAAATTTCTATGCCGTTCCTGCAAAATATTTGCCGAATCAACGGTATGTTATCAGGTTTATACATAATATATTTTCTTGCTGTAAAACAACTATTGTAACCACGATAAAAGCAAATCCATGAAATCGAGTATGAAACAAAAATGCATGTTTTGTGTCAATTTGATACATAACTATCCAGATAAAAGATCCTAGGGGGATTGTACGTGATTGTTCCTGGTCACGTAAACAAATAAAAATCAATGCTTTTTTACAGAACATGTTTATTTAGTACAGCCATTTCCAACATAACCTAACTTAAAAAGAAAAAAACGGAAGCCATAGAAAGAGCACAAAACGGAACGATAAAGAATGCTTTATCATGATTTTGTATAAATTTTGTGTTTGATGTGAATATTGTAGATCTAACTTGATGAAAAAATAAATATTTTTAAACCAAAGAATGCTACAGTACAAAGCCTTTTTTATGAACAGAGGCTCTTACACGTTGATAAAGGATTTATAACATTCTCCCATACATCCATAAAGCCATAAGTGTACAAAATATATTTGACATTTGATAACCAATTACGTTTTCCACTTGTACAATCATTAAAAACAAATGATAATATTTCAGAATAATATTATCAGTTTGTAGTAGCTCTGACCAATTTATATTTTCAAATATCTTGTCAAAGATAACGGATAACGTCTCAGTTTTCCGCAAAAAAAACTGTTATATTACATGTATTTAACCTAACATTTATTAGTAACATCTTTTTACAAAAACTCTGAGATGCGCTCTTTCTGTTTCGTTTGACTTAATGTTCGCCCATATTTCAAATACATAACACAGAATAGAAACCTATAAAAGAATCCAATACCTGGCATAAGATTTTAAGTTTTTAATTGTATTTCTTACAATTTATAAGTGAAATATTCAGGACCTTCATAGCTTTTCAAACTAACTGTCTTGATTTAAAGTAAATGTGCCAGTATAATTAAAACTTACACCTACGTAATTAAAATCATTCACAACTTCTAGCTTTATGCCATTATACAAAATTTATTCTGGTTATAACCCACCACGTTTCCTAAAATCAACCACTTTAGTTTTTTTCAACATTGACTTCTAAGCTCCACTTTTTACAATAAGTATGTAAAAGACTTAATCTTAAACTTAACCATGTTATCAGCTAAAGGTAAAAGCATAAGTATAATGCCATTTATTTGAAGGTAACAAGTGATATCTTGTTCTAAGAACATCATAAATAAACAGCGAAAATAAAATTGGCGAAATTACCTTCCCTTGACGTAATCTTATACCATATACGAAAAAATCATAAAAGTATTACAATGTTTACACAAGATTTTACCTTATCATAAATATATTTTTCTATACATAGAAGTTTACCTCTGAACAGTGAAAACATCACATTTATAAAAAAAAAAGTTGCAGACTGAGTATGATTGAACTTGACAAATCATTTATTGACTGCCTGACATGCTTTTATGTTCTTCAATGGGCATATAAATATTGAACTCCCCGTTCGTTCGTTTGTTTGTTTGTTTGATTGTTTGTTTGTTTGATTGATTGATTGATTGATTGATTGATTGATTGATTGATTGACTGATTGATTGACTGATTGATTATTTGTCCGTCCGGGGCAGAATAAGGGGAGATTATCGTGTAAAGATTGTCAAATGACAGCCGCATAAATTTTCAAGCCTTCTCGGGGAAGAAAAAAAAGTTCCCAATTGGTCAAAGATTTCTAATATTGTGTAATTCTTTACAGATATTAAGAGGATATTTTTTCGTTTGAGTGAAATATGAAATATATTTTCACGAAACATGATAAAATGCCACATATTTTCACGAGCCGGTACGGCGAGTGAAAATATGTAGCATTTTATCATGTTGAGTGAAAATATATACCATATTTCACGAAAAACGAAAAATAACCTTTTTATTTAATTTCATTATCAAAGAAAATGGTAACGAAACCCCTTGCTTGCTACCAACTGCAATTGTACAGCGCGCAGTAATGTATGCGTAAGCACACGCTGTTTGGCGCTACATTGTCACGTCATGTAAACAATTCTTTAAACGCCTGTACAGCGTTAATTACTGAATTAAAGATATTGGTGTTCGGATTAATTTTCTTATTTAGACCATTTTCTATCATTCTAGGTAGTTTTCAAAACAAAATTCAAGAAAAAGTTGTTTTGTATTTATCAGATTTTTCAAACAAAATGGCGAAAGAAGTCCCTTGAAATAAATATGAGTTTTGACTCCGCCCACTTTCATATTTATAACTCATATTTATTTTTAAAAAATATGAAATATATTTGACTGATATAGCACCATATTTCATGGGTAAAATTAAATAAACATGCATATATATTATTTACATCAGTGTTAAGCAACAGGTTTACCGTGAACGAAATATCATGAAATTAATATGGGTTACAAACCTTAATTTAGAACATTAAGATTTTCTTCAGGCTGTTATCTTATAACTTCCCCGTGGTCGAGGGATTTACATGCTTGTTTAGGAAGCTAGAGGTCTGGAGTTCAAATCCCAGTGAAGGCAACTCATTTTTTTGCTGTAATTTCACAACCCTCACCTTTCAGACATTCTGAGACCTAAGCAAATTCACCGCCTTCTGTGCTTTGATTAACTTTAGCTACTGTTAACTTTATTTACAAACTGATGTCTTTCCTGTTTAACGGAACGTCCTGCGTTCTGTAGGTGTTTTTACATCTTTGGGATGAAACAAAAAGCGTCACTTGGATCAAGGTCACATGTGCTTGAAAAACATTTTACATTTTTAGACATTTCCTGTTTAAAAAGAACATACTTGAATTGTCCTCTACCTTTGGATTGAGAACAATGTCACTTCATTGGATCAAGGTTACTGGCGCTACAATAGATTTTTACACTTTTGCTCATACAGCGTTCAATAATTGGCTGATGTATTTTATATTTAGTATTAAAAATACTGTGGAAAGTCTTTCAATGTTTGATGGAGTTTTGAATTACTCGGTTTCAAGTAAAAATCACCAATGCTATTTGGTGGTCTTCTAACTTTAGGAGTCAATGCTGCTGAAATTAGGTGTTTACTTTTAAGCACATGCATCATTAATTTATTGACCGATGCCTTTCAATTTACATTGTAAATGTATACTATGGCTCAATGTTAAGGTCACGAGTGCTAAAATTAGATTTTCATAATTAAGCTCATGCAGCATTTATTTTTTATTGGCCGATGTCCTTAATATTTGGTTTGTTGATACCTTCGGTGTAAATGTATTTGTGTACAAATGTGATTAAAAGTATGTCAAGTATGAATATATGATAAAATGTCTAAAAACGGCGTAAGATAAAGACAAACGGACAATCAATCATGAACTTGTTTTTTCTTCTTTTTTTTCAGAAAGCAAAAATGAAAGATATAGATTCAAGACTGAAGCTGTTTCTTGGCATGATATTGTTGTGCTCTTTCATTGTTATACATGTACATTTCGTGTATAATGATTGCACAATAAAGGTAAGAAAATTAATATTTATTTCTAAATTCATTATAATAATATGACCAAGAATCTATTGCCACATTATATTCCAAGGTCGATGGGTCTACTATTGGCACATGTTCATTAGAATTTCAAATATTGATAAACAGAATAGATATGTATTTTATGTTTATCATTTTATTAGCTGCTATATGAATATATAGGATGATGTATTTCACACTTGCCAACAACTTCCATATATAATGCTTTCGAGGTTCGATGTTATGTCTCATTCAAAATATTATCAACCTTATTATTTTTTTTTGTTTTACAAACCTTCCACTAAAGACCGATTCACTTTAATTAAGTAAAACAAGTTCTAACATATTTAATTTTTCTCTGAATCCTGAACATTTTTTTTTTACATTGATAGATCATATTTAGGTAAATTACATTCTCCAAGAAGTCCATAATTCGTTTTTCCAGTATTTAATATTTAAGACTTAATTCCCCAACACTTTTTGCCATTTTCCTACTTAATATTTTGGGGCTATAAAACTACTAGTTTTTGTTGTTTTGTTTTTTTTTTGTTCGTTGTTTGATTTTTTGTTCGTTGTTTTTTTTTTGTTGTTGTTTTTTTTGTTGTTGTTGTTTTTTTTTTTTTTTTGGTTTTTTTTGGGGGGGGAGGGGGATAACTTTGTGTATTTTAGGTATCGTTGCCATTTAAAAGCAATTCAATGAATAAAACCAATAACTCGACATTTATTTATTTATTTATCTATTAATTTATTTCTTTTAGGGAAAGATTGATTTATTTATTGTGCACCCACTATAAGGGGCATTTAAATTTACCCTTGTCCGTCCGCCCATCCATCTGTCCGTCCGTTCATGCGTATGTATATTTTTTTATTATTCATTTATTTCAATTTATCTATTTACTTTAATCATTGATTAGTCCCCTACCGGTTTACCGGAGGGGACTTTAGGTTTACCCTCCGTCCGTCCGTCTGTCCGTACGCCGTCCGTCCGTCTGTTTGTCATTCGTCCACAAAACTGGATCCTGCGATAACTTGGAAAGTACTGAAAATATTTTTATGAAACTTGATATAAGGATAGATGGCAGTATGGAAATTCTTTTTTTTCTTCCTATGTTGAAAATTCTGGTTGTTGTGACAACAAATAGGCTGAAAATATGGCAAATTTTACACATAAACTGGGTCTAGTGATAACGCAAAAAGTACTGGAAATATTTTTATGAAACTTAAAATATGGGTAGATGGCAGTCTGGAAATTATGCACATCTTTTTGTTTTCTTCCTACGTTGAAAATTCTGGTTGCTAAGGCAACAAATAGACTGAAAATATGGCAAATTTTACACATAAACTGCTTCCAGTGTTAACGCAAAAAGTAATAAAAATATTTTTTATAAAACTTGTAATATGGGTAGATGGCAGTCTGATGATTATGCATGTCTTTTTCTTTTCTTCCTATGTTGAAAATTCTGGTTGCTATGGCAACACATAGACTGAAAATATGGCAAATTTTACACATAAACTAAATCCAGTGATAACTCAAAAAGTACTGGAAATATTTTTATGAAACTTGAAATATGGGTAGATGGCAGTCTGGAAATTATGCATGTCTTATATTTTCTTCCTATTTTGAAAAAAATATTGGTTGCCTTGGCAACAATTAGGCTTAAAACATGGCAAATATAACATTATTTGTGATTAGTCAAAATGAGCTGAAATTTTTTATGAAATTACATCTTTAATTCAAGTGTTATCTCCTCTTTAAGAATTTTGCTTTTAAAAATGTTATATTTTGGTAACAGGGATGTTTCAAGTATGAACTTTAGAGTGTCCTTCAGTCTGTCTGTCTGTCTGTCTGTCTGTCTGTCTGTCTGTTCATGAAAACTGTTTCCTGTGATCACTTTTAAAGAACTTTTCCAACAATTTTACTTAAAATAGAGAAAAATTGAAACAATAGTGAATAGCCAATGGCCCTTTAGAATGTTGATGGGGTTCTTACCGGTAGGGGACTTATGGATTGCTTGCAATACTATGATAATTGCTTGTTTATTTATTTATCTATTTATTTATTTATTTATTTTGATTAATTTGTTTATTCATTTATTTATTTGAAATATATTTATTTATTCATTCATTCATTCATTCATTTATCCATCCATTAATTAATTCATTCATTCATTTTTATTTATTTATCTATTTATTTGTTTATTTTATCGATTTTTTTTTATTCATTTATTTAGTTTGATTGATCAATATACTTTACTCATTTATTTATTTGTTTATTTATTTTGATTTATTTATTTATTTGTTTATTTATCTATATATTTATTCATTCATACATTCGTTCATTTATCTATTCATCCATTCATTCATTCATTTATTCATTATTTTTTTTATTTATTTAATTTTTTATCTATTTATTATTTATTTATTTTAATTTATCTATTTACTTTAATTATTTATTCATTTATATATTTAAAAATGTTTAATCATTTTTGTTATTCATTTATTTATTTATTTATCAGTCTATTTATTTTTTTATCTATTATTTATTTATTTATTTATTTTATTTATTTATTTATTTATTTTAACAGCCATATGTTGAACCTCAAGGATGGTCAAGACATCTTCCTATGCACCTCGATTTAGACAATTTAACAGAAAAGGGAACTAAAGAAAAGATTATAGCACTTGCCAAAGTCATTTACAGTGCTAAGAAACACGTGCGTGGGTCTAAGACTTCATATTATCTGAATAAAGCTATTTCTATCATGAACAACATTCTTGAAGATATCAAAGTGGATTCTAAAAATGTGTATGAAAGACAAAGTGTTAAATCTAAACATATATGTGAGGAAAGTTATAAAGGTGGATTACACGGGTACCCAATGTATTATGAAGGATTTGTCACTGACAACTGTTCTTATGGTGTACCGGTTTCAAAACTGGTAACTGTAATAAAATATATAGCAAATACAAGTGGCAACGAAAGTTTACTAGCAGATTTTATTGATAATTTTATTATCTCAGTCGATAGCGTTATGAAAGACGCTAATATCTTAATAGCAGTCAACACCGAAAGTTTTCCGAATAATTTAGTAAATAATTATCGAGGGGTGAAAATTAATTCATCTAAATATCAGTCCGAGGGATCTGCACTGAACAGTTTGATAAAAGATGTAAAAACTTCATATGTTTTAGTTGCAAGAAAAATGAATACATTCACAAACGATTCTAGGTTAGAAAGACTAGTTAGAGAAATAGAAAGTATAAATGTGACCGCTGTGGGTGGTGCGTTTCGTGAATCAAATGGTCATTGGAGGAAAGGATGTTTCCAGTCGGTGTATAGAAATTACACTTTGAAGTATATGGAGGGATATGATGAATCCTTTCATGAATGTTTGTTTTGTGATTATATTCAAGGTCCGTTTATAACGACTACTAAATACTTAATGGAAAACAAATTCAAAAGTCTTGAAGAAAGTAATGGATTATACGAAGATTGGTTTCTCAGAATTGCCAAGTCAGACCGGGAAACAATTGTTTGTCCAGACTCTATGTTTCATATAGATAGCAAAAGCACTAAGTCGAGCTCAAACTGGACAGAATTTTCTGAATATTGGAATGTTTTCAAGGTCATTACACCAAATGGTCAGACAATAAATAGAAGTTGTGAAAATGTTGAGATAACAATTGAACCAACGAAAGCATTGTCACCTTGTGCATTGAAACTATACAGTGATGGTATTAAACTCATTATGCAAATGTGTGAGAAAAGTGGTACCATATGTGAATTTGAGGAAGGTACCGGGTTAGGAGCTGTCAAATTAGGGAAAAATCTCCCCTGGGACATAGACTACGATTTGCGATTTTCTCTGAAAAATTGTTCATCATGTCAGCAGCTTGAAATGGCATTTAAAAACTTTCCAATTAAAACCGGTAAATTCTCACCTAAATGTTGTGAAATTATACATGAGCCGATTTTTTTCGAAATTTATTACAAAGGTCAATATGGTGACTTTGCTGGTCATCCTGAATTGGACAGTGAGAAGCTTGTCAAAAGTGGTATACCTCCTACAAAAGTTTTATTTACTGGACAATGGTCAAATGCCCCAAGAAACCCTGGATTGGCTTTTAGAAATAGATATGGTAGAGAGTTGTACAGACATGCTAATCACTGGAGGCATACAGGACAAAAAGACCATCGACCGAAATATACAACTAATGTGTTTATGCCATGCAAAAGTCCAGGTGCACATAATTGTTTAGACAGATACAACGGTGATGGAAATATACAATTTAAAATGTTGCTTCCGTAAGGAGATAAAGATATTTATATATGCATTGATAAACAAAACAACAGTTCATCTTTAATTTTTTTTCACATTCGAAAAGGTATCTTTATTTTTTATTTCAGTCTCATCTTTACATGTATACATAAAATTATATATATATATAAAACATAAAAAAACATAAAACATGGAAAGCCATTCTAATCAGAATTACAAGATACTTTATTTTCTTTTTTAACCTTCTAAGGGAGACAACTCCACAGACTATATCACAGCAGTTAACTGTTGTATGCACTGAGGAATTGTCCCCCTAGCTACGCAGATTTCATATGATCATTATCATTTTCACCGACAACTATATATCATGTATGTAAATATATATGTATATAAATGTATTTTCGATTAACGGTGGTCATAAAATTTAGTGAACACACATATACGGATCTAAAATTTAAACAAAGTAACAATGTAAAAACATAACAATATAAAAATCATCTGATAGATGCATGACAGCTCTCAAAAATGTATGAAGGTGTAGTTGTGCGTAACTTATTTCGTTATTAATTTACTCTTGCCTAAGATGAAATTCAAACGTATGATTTACATAAGATCAAATTAATATGAATAGAAATTTTAAAAAATCTAATTTACCTGAATTTATATTAAATATATGAAGAGATATTTGGATTTTAAAGTAGCATAACAAAAAGCATATAATGTTTGAAAAATGTTGACTTAAAGGTGGATTACGATTGGCCGAGAAATATCACGTGTATAAACAGATCAAAGATAAGTTAATGTCGACGCGCCCGTGAACGACGTCGCCTTAAATGAAATGCTTTTTTGTGGCACATGGAAGAGCTGTTAATATTAACAGTTCATATTATGTTGTTTTAATTAGTTTTATTTTGATTCTTAAAAATCAAGTCAACAAATATGTTGTTATATTTATATTTTATAATTTTATTTGAAAGGCATTAAAATTGTGATATTTATCTTTATAAAATGGCAGGCTCAGTTAAACAGCTTCTCTAAGCTGGTAATACTAAATATCATTGTGTCAATTTCGGAATTTTGGAATTCACTGGAAGTTTCATTTTTTTATTTATTATTTATATTAGATTTAGTTTTTTATGGTAATCACTGTTGATTCATTTTAGTTAATTATGCATTGTTTATTTTTTGTTAGTAATACTGCTATGTGAACTCTTTTTCGTCAGCAGTTTAAAGTGGTTTGTGAGGTCAAAGAGAGACTATATGTATATTTTTGTAAATTATATATTTTTCCGACAAGAATGTGTAATTAATCAGTTTCTATTTGTTTGTATAAAAATTGTTAATAAGATAACATGTGGTGAAAATGAAAGAAAGACAATTAAAGCTATGCATATAGGTGCTTATATTCATGCAATATTATTTATTTTAAATACTTTATGTATATACAGTTAGTTGTTAAAATAAAGTCTAAGTGGGGCAGTATTTGTTACTGTAAGAAAAACAAGTGTTCATTTAATGCTTAGACACAACTCAATCTTCATATGATATAGACTAGGTGAGATTTTTATTTTACTTTTATACTATACATTATAGTTTTCTTTCTACTAGATTTTGAGTTCCATCCATGTACCAATGTTAATAGGATTTCATATATATTAAATAGATACTGGGAATTATTAATGTTACATACATTTATATCTATAGATATGATGAGACTGTATAATATTTCTGTATTTACAGAGTTACAGTTAAAGGGATGAGACTTACATTTAAATTTATCAATGATAATGCATGTATTGATTAGGCTACAGTTTATATGTTTATCCCTAATGATTTTGTTAACAATAGCGTTAAAGGAGGAATATAGTAAAGGGTGACTTAGCCTGGATGTTGTGGTTATATGCCTAACTTTAGGAGAGCTTTTACCGCCTCCGTGGTCGAGGGGTTAGAGTCGATGACTTCTAATCCAGTTACCTCTCTGGCGTGGGTTCGATCCCCGGGAGATGCTTTGGTAGTTTAGCGCGGAGGAAGGTAGTCTAGTACTGGTGTAACTCTCCAGGAACGATGGTTAGGAAACTACCCGCCTATATGACTGAAATACTGTTGGAAAAAGGCGTTAAATGAAACAAACAAACAAACAAACAGGAGAGCTTTACTTACAGTATATTTTAAAATATTTTATATTCTTAACTTGTGAGATATGGCAAGTATGACCTATCCAGAATTGAGGTTAAATTAGTGTCTTTCACCAGTGATGACTTGATCCATGGTGAAAATCTACCACACTATCTCTGCTAGTAGGTCAGTACTGGTCCTTTAAGGGAAGAAAGTGTCCTTAAAAACAAGCAATATCATTTTTAAAGTCTCAAACATATATATTCTGAAATGGTATTTTGATATTTTCCAACATGTGCATAGTTTGAAAAGGACAGCCCTTATCTTATAGCTCTTATTTTTTGTAATGGAGGGACAGCGGTATCAATCTCCAGGTCTCGGGCAGAACCAGTCCGACTAAAGTTTTTTCATAGATTAGATATTTGCTTACACGCACTAAATTTTATGGTGGCTGATTTCTGCCACACGGAACAACAAAGAACGAAAAAGTAACCGGGCGCCAGACGAAAATAGGAAAATACATGTACCACAAAGTGGTGCCTTTGTTGTTTCTTCATGTTTTTGTTCGGTGCCCACTGATTCAAACAAATCAGCCACCATAAAATTTCTTATCTTGAAAAAAGTTACTTTTTATATAGATATAGTATATGTATTAGTACAGTTATTGTCACTTTTAAATTGACCTGATATAAATAATGGCACTATCAATTACTTTCTCAGCCCTTTTCAGTAAAAATACGTATAAAAATATATAAATTGTTATTTTAATAAAGACTATGAGTATGTAAGTTTTCTTTTTGTTATTTTTATTAATTTAGAAATTAATATACCTGTTAATTAAAATAAGCAAAAGTATCAGACGCGGTTTATAACGGGAGAAAATGTGTAAGCGACATTGTATGGAGGCTTTACGTTGCCGAAAATCCAGCCTTGTTGATCTGAGTTGAACAGTTTGTTTACGGACAAAACACAAATGTATTTCTTTGCATGTAAACTCCAATGTTGCATTCGTTGATTGAGATTGTCGATTTAACATTGTATACATGCATTTTATCAAAATACATTGTGTTAAACGACAAAACATTAACTGGTTTTAACACATTGTCAAACCATCATGATTCGGATAATGAGTATGCAATTGACAGGTTAAAAAAATCAAACAATAGTTCCGTGGTTATATAGTCTGGTTTTATTGACCTGTCAATTATGAATACCTTATAGCACTCATTTGAATATCCAGTCCCACTTCAGTTTTGTCCGTGTAGTTTACGAGAATTAATTTGGAGTATATAACTTATATTTTGAAAGTCACACCAGCTTAGTGTGAAGGTCATCGGCACATCCGCAATAGCACAGTCGATTAAGTGATTGCCTGATATGTGAAAAGCGTGTAGTTCGATCCCTTCTGTTGTCGTTGTTTTAAAACTACATTTTTTTTCAGTATATTTTTATGGAAATGGCCGAGTGCTTACATAATTTTTTTATACGGATATGAAGCAACTTAGAAACACTGTTTTGTCTCTATTTGTATTGTGTTTTACGGCATTAAATGACTTTTTGGTTTTAATCCGAATGAAATTTAAATACATATTCTTCAACAATGTTATTTAAAAGGAGTATAGACTTACAATAATCTCAAACACAGAAAAATAGAAAATAAATGTTAAGTAGATTTAATCAGAGCTTAGACACAAATGCAAAATATTATATACTCAACAATTAATGACAAATAGGAAATGGAAGTCAAACAGACTGACAGATCGACTGTACATAATTCAACAGTTACAAATTATGACAAAGCTTATCGACAAATGTATGAAACAGTATACAAACAGAGATCAAACAACGCCCATCCAAGGCCATAAAAATCACACACAAAATATTGATAATTATAATTCACACATCAGGACGTATACTAAGCAAAATATAACATTTATACAATTGTCAACAATAAACACATAAAGTTAAACCCGAGTAAAGTCACATTCTCAGGCCTACACAACAGGTCTATATTTCTAAGGAGAAAATATCTCCTTAATAAATCCTTAATAAATAAAGCCATACTGATAACATGAATAATGCTATACAGTACTAAGACATGTGAAATATGACACTACTTCTAAAGGTCATATCCAGTACAAAAATTAAATAACAAAAACACATAAACCAAATATCAGACAAATATAACAGTCACAGTAAACCCTTGTTACATAGCAATTTTACCTTTCAAAACATGAGAAACTGAATTGATAAAAAAAAATCTGAGAACAGCATCTCCCTGAGAATTAAGATGTAAACATTTACCTTTAACAGCAAATGACTCTCTCCTAGGAAGACCAAACTAATAAAAGACCCTAAAAGAACGCAACAACCTGACACTTTTTTTGTTTACAAAGCATTTGCAAACCCTTATTGACTTCTTTGACCTTGTCCTTGGAAAACTCATATTGATAAGGTCTTGGCAGAATACTCGAAAAAAATAAAAATGAGTTTGAGAAATTTTACTAATCCTGGCGATTAAATTGCAAAACAAAATTATAATTTCATCAGCTGAATAAGACTAGATACCATTTGTACCCACATGAATGATGGTAAAAGGTTTTGAAACTAGAGCATTTATCAATCTTTGCAGTTAAAGTGACATTATGCCCATCCATGGGGAGATATAGAGTGAACAGGTGAAAGTTAGAATAAGTTCACACTTTCTCATAATTCCTTTCAATTTCATAAGTTACTTCACATGAACGATAAATAAGTCACTAGGCCCTGTGAAATGTATGTAAATATCTGTTAGAATGTATCTGTAACTTTCAATTTATAAAAGAGTGGGGTAGTCTTTTTATATATTAAGGTAGATTTATTTTTTAACCGTAAACATTTTCAAATGTCATGTGTTGGTCAATCACCATTATAACGACCATTTTATTGAAATATATAGTCAAATAAAGTCAATTTGAAAATGAAAAAATGAGCATAATGTCACTTTAATCTACACAAAATAAATAAACTCTGTAACGACCAAAACGTGTATAAGAACTGTGAAAAAAGCGCGAAAACCACTGTATATAGTAACGCGGATTATAACTGCATAGATTACGCTATTGCGCTACAACGCTCAGTATAATTACTTTACATATACAAATTAAAATAAATCAGCTTGCTGCGAACATCTCACGGAACTTACCGAAAATCTATCGAAGATTTGATATATTGTGTGCATTGACCGTATAATCAATATGACAGGTTAATAAAATCAAACAATATACAATGTACTTTATCAAAAAATTTGGGTTTCTCTGACCCAATATAGTCCTTCAAAGAAAGAGGGCACATACTTACTGTTCAGTTCTCTTTATTTATGTTGAAAAAAGTGGAATCCATGTATCGCATTCAAGTACTGACTGCTGAACGCAAAACAAATGAGCACGAATACTTCAGTGAACGAATTCAATAATTCGTACCGTTACATTATATCTTAACCACTTTTGTATATTACTAGAATATCCTGTGCTAGAAAACGTTTTAACAAAAGCAGAGGATATTCAAAGTATTGCAGCTAGGGACGACCATCAATGGAGATGACAAGAGCACAAAGAGCAAGTCCAACAGATCTGGTCGACAATCTAAGGACCATGAAACACTAGTTACTACTCTGACAAAGCAACAGCATTAAAATACCTGTCTCCCGACTCAAATCAAAAGTATATTGTCTCCTACACAAATATCTGCTCAACATCTGTGGGGTTGTTTGGCCGGCGCAATGGTTGAGTCTTTTCACACTTCTGCACTAGACAATTTCTACCAGGATACATTTCAGCTGACGCAAAGGCTACTCCCGTTTAAGCGCTGAGCTTCGGATGCAGACACAACAACCGTTCTCTCAGCCACAGCCACAAATCCCCCCTAACATACCTTCTGTGAACCAGAATCTGACACAGTTACAGCTTCGGCGACCGTAAACAAGTAATGCTAATAACAACAATCTTCAAGCCGGATTGCCGACCCAAATCGGAGATTCAATAAGAGGTGCGTCAATGTGGGACATGTCAATGCCTATCGCAGGTCCTTTGTATGCTCAGAGAGTTCAACAATCTGGTGGGTACGACATGCTGTCTTCTGGCATACTTGGTAATCAGGAACTAATGAACAACGCTTAGTGAGACCAATGACGATGTTTTTTTTTTTTTCATTTTTAAAAGTAGGGAACTAGATACATGTTTAATTTAATCCAATTGTGTTGATGTTTGCATAAACTCGCGTTATCATTTCATCAAAATAATTTAAGTAGAGATTAGTTTGTGTAATTGAATGAATAATTTTCCTTGTTTATGCCTAGGACATTTTTAGTTCAAATGTAAATTTTACGTATTATACTATGTGTAGTCTTATGTAAATGAATTGTATTTTGATGTGCGTTTCATTCAAATAAACAAAGTAAGAAATACTTTGTAAAACTGTTTAACACGTCTCTTTCTGAGTTATTGTTATTGTTTATTACTGTGACCTTTCACTTAAAAAGTATTTAAGTGTAATTGGATTGCACTAGTTTAAGTTATTTCTGATTTGATGTTTATTTCAGAAAAAAGTAAATTATGCATTAATTAGTTAATGACTATATTTTCGATTTTGCGACAGAAATCTTCGAATAAATAAATATCAATGTTTATCTACATGCTTGCTTTTCGTTAATTTTATTTTCCAAAAAAATATAAATAAAACACAGCTGCCAAAACAGTTATGGTCATACACACAAAAAAAATTACCTCAGCCTTCTACAAGCTTAAAATTGTCCAGTGTCT